TGTGGTAGTGGTATTGGTATTGTGTAGTGGTATTGGTATTGTGTAGTGTATTGGTGTGTGGTAGTGGTATTGGTATTGTGTAGTGGTATTGGTATGTAGAGTGTCAACACTGGAAGCTCTGTGGAGCCCAGTGAGTCAATACTTTCCAAATGACCGATGCCTCCTCGTGTTCACAATTGTCCCTGGATAAGAGATTCTTTAAAAGAGTAAGAGGAACAACAGATATTATTGTAGCCAAGTGGGAAAGCATCACTAACTCAGAGACAGGTCACCAGTGACACATGATCCCTGTGGAAGTGTCCACCAGAGAACTAGGCAGAGAGAAAATGCACAACAAAATGCTACTTAAGAAGATGGACACACCCCAAGTTTTAGAGCTACTACAAGAAGCAGCGCTTCACCTTTGAACATGTATCAGACTCTTTGAACTTGTAAGCAAGCTAATACTTCTTCCCAAGGAGCGTAATTCTGAATCAAGACATTGGAAAAAAGATTCGTAAAAACACACATTTATTCTAGCTGTGTACACGGTGCATGCCCTTAATCCCAGCACTAGGGAGGCAGAGGCAGAGGTGGAGGCAGGACAAGCTCTATGAGTTTGAGGTCGGTTTGGTCCATATAACAAGCTACAGGCCAGCCAAATCTACATAGAGAGAACTTATCGCAAAGAAATAAAAACAGTAACACAACAACACATTTATTCGTGTGTGTGTGTGTGTGTGTGTGTGTGTGTGTGTGTGTGTGTGTGTGTGTGTGTTGGTGAGAGGACATCTTTCAGAAGTAGGTGGGTCTCTCCTTTCACACTGAGGATCCTAGGGGTCAAATTGAGGTCATCGAGATTTGCTGCAAGCTCCTTCCCCTACTGAGCCCTCTCAGCGGCCCTCCACCTTAGGGTTTCTTAAGCACTGAAGCTTAACTTTGCCCTTCGCTGTGAACAGCTCTTTCCTGGGAAGCCTGCTTGCAACTTTGTGACGCTTTACCCTTCCGTTTTGGTTTTGGTCTAGTTCTTCCCCTCTCCTCTGCTCTCCCCACCCCTCCCTTTTCCCACTTCCCTCCCTTATAGGAGCCCACAGACTCAATGCAGCATCATTCAAAATCTGCCTCCTGTAAAGTCGCTTTTAAGAGAGAGGGAGGGACATCGGAGGGAGCTCTAGAATTTCCCCAAGTCTTCCCAATATCCTGGGAGGCTATATTTGGAAGCACAGCAGAGGCCAAACCTCAGGATCCCCAGGATGTTCTCATCTGAAATTTTGAGAGTGGTGGACAGGAAAGGGCTTCGGAGTCCACTGAAGCTAACTCTCTAAATCTCACAGAGGAAACTGAGGCCCAGTGATGCAGACTGAGGATGGGCAAGCTGAGGGAGCCAGGAACCACCAGACCCACCCAAGGCCTCCATCTCAGAGGGCCCTGCTGGGGAGGGAGGAGGCCGGGTGGTGAGAGTGAGGAAGAGGGGGGAGGGCGAAGGAAAGGAAGGAGGGCTGAAGTGGGAGTGGCAGAGGCAGCCTCCCCGGGGCTGATTGGCTCCCGAGGCCAGTCCTCTCCACGAGGTTTATAAGAGTTTGGGCTGACTTTGGTACCCTGCCCTCTCTCCCGCGCTCGGGAGAGTCACTGTCAGGACCTCGGTGAACCGGTGCTTAGCGGGACAGGAGACCAAGGAGGGGACAGAGCGATCGCGAAGCAGGGCGCCCGAGCTAGGGGCGCCGCGCCATGCGCCGGGCCAGCCGAGACTACAGCAAGTACCTGCGCGGCTCGGAGGAGATGGGCGGCGGCCCTGGCGCCCCGCACGAGGGTCCGCTGCACCCCGCGCCTGCAGCGCCCGCCGCGCCGCCGCCCCCCGCGGCCTCCCGCTCAATGTTCCTGGCCCTCCTGGGGCTGGGGCTGGGCCAGGTGGTCTGCAGTGTCGCTCTGTTCCTCTACTTCCGAGCGCAGGTGAGTGGCTGCCTTCCCCCGCCCGGTTCTCTGCCGAGGGAAACTGAGTCTGGCCCTCGGGCTGGACTCCTGGGATCTTGCCTATTCTGGAAGGGAAAGCGACCCTCCAAGGAAGGGAACTTGGGGTCCTCCAGCCAGGTTCACCCGCGCCTTCTCCCCGCAGTGCGGTGCGCAGAAGTTGAGCTACTCTGGTTCTGGTAGAGGTTGGGTTTGAATTTCCCCCCAGAAGCAGCATTGGCCGCTCCCCTCTTGTGCAAGTGATCTCACACTTTCTCCCCACCTTGCGTTTCCCACTCGCAGTTAAGAACCAACTTTAACCCATTTAGGGGAAAAGTGAGAGCTTTTCCAATGTCGCTAACTAACCTGTGGTTGCTTGGCTTTTCTGGGACGCTGGGACCACAGTGAGAGGATGTCAGTAGTCGTTGGAGCACCTGGGGGTGACACTCATGTCGCCAGATTCTCCGAGTGACAGAGCTACCAAATATTCTGGGTCCCAGGGCTGGGGCTCTGGGGCTTCTCTGGAGCTCAGGCTCTGAGAGGTGAAGGGACAGCCCCACTGTGCCTGCCTGTGAGGTGCGCGGAGGAAGGAAGGTGTGTGTGTGTGTGTGTGTGTGTGTGTGTGTGTGTGTGTGTGTGTTAGTACAGCCTGACTACATTCTAGCCAGTAACCAGTCTTTGAAGAGAAGAAGAAGCTCCACGCTAAAGACTCAGAACCGCGGGGAGATGGAAGAGAGGAAGGGGTAAATTTGTAATATTATGCTTTCTGGTGGTTTGTGCTCTTGTGTTTTCTTGGAAATTGCAGTGCAGTTGGTTGGATTCATTCAAATACTCTTGTCTGCTGCTATGAACTCTTTCTCAGAGGAAGTGGGGGGCTGACTGTGCATATTTTTATGGGAAAAGAAAGTAGGGTTTGGACTTCGTTTGTTTCCAGAATCAAAGGTGATTACTAATCCAAACTGGATGCATTAAAATGTGCCGTTGTTTGGACTGCGTGGGTTTTTGACATGTGCCAAAGTCTTGAACTGCCCTTTGGATCATAGGCTTTGTTAAGTATTCAGATCTACTGGTTTGCAGTTTATAGCACTGCTGTGGTTACCCACTAATGCAAAAATAGAAAGACCATAAACCAGTACTTCTGCAAACCCATGTTAATAATCATACTTGTTACCTGTTGAGATTTTTCTTCCTCAGACAAGGTTTGGGTGGTTTGATTATGATATGAATCACACAAATCCTTATGAAAGTGAGTAAACAAACATTTACTCTGTTGTTTTCTACCATCTGGCGTTTTAATGCATGTGTATGAAGAGCCAGCACAGTGTGTAGCACTATTAAATGCTATGGGATGGACTTAGGATCACTGTATATGCAGTCCCTATGACCCTATGTGTGTGGTGCCAAGGGATAGAGCATGTTTCCAATAAGCATGTTATAACGACTATTATGATTCTTTGTAAAGCGACTTTAGGTCTGAAGATGCAGTAGTTCCCAGTGTCATTTTCCCCCCAGAAAGAAGTGTGGAGCGAACATGTTCTAGGAACCCTTAGTTTGCTAGGAACCCTGGGACTTGGCATGGCTGTGGAGGAAGGAGTTCTATGGCAGTGGGGTGGCCTAAGATGTCTGTCACCCTAATGGTGTGGTCACCTTCCATCACACAATAGTGTTGATGGCACAAGAATAATAATAAAACGACCTTTTCCAGAAGTAAACACGTGAGATAGCAAGCGAAGCCAGATGATTTTCCTTTGGATAATTTAAAAGCATCAGATTTCTGGGTACAATTTTTCTCCTGTTTTTTTTTCCTCCATCTCTCTTTCTCCCCTTTCCCTCCCTCCCTACTTTCTTCCCTTCTTCCTTCCCTCCCTCCCTCCCTCCCTCTCTCCCTAGCTAGGATCTCATGTAGCCCAGGCTGACCTCAAACTTGTCGTGTAGCCAAGGACATTACACCTCCCAAGAGCTAGGGTTGCAGGTGGGCACCCACTATGCCCCGTTCATGTGGTGTGGTGCCAGGGATTAAAGGCACAGAGCTTCGTGTGCATTAGGCAAACCTCCACTAAGTGCCCCATACCTCTAGTCCCCAGTCGCTACAAAGTGTCTCTAAGACTTACTTAAAATATTTCAGTCACTATTCTGAGCCCAGGTCTATAACTACATCTTAAAAAGGTTTCCCGTCACTAGAGTAGTTGTATTAGGAAAACCATTTTTATTTGAGTATTCTGATTGCATCTCACTGAGTGTGGAATCCACACTTGATACTCAAGGAAATCCTAATCACTTAAGAGATACGTTCAGAAACTCTTACACATGACATGAAATGCTGTGATGTCTGGAAATGTTTCAAATTAGTTGATAGAATAATTGATGGAATAACTGATAGAAATCTGTGCAGGTGTAGGGAGCTCACAGCTTAAATGTGAGGCATGGTTTCTAGCCGTTTGTGAATAATTGTTGAAGGTGGGCTTTGGGTACACAAGGGTTCAATCTACAATTCTTTTCACTTTTATATATTTTGAAAACCTTTTATACTTTTAGGTATTGATGTCAAATAATGGATAGTTTTATCTTTTAAGTTGTATTACATTTGTAAGTTCTGGATGAAATATTTGGAATTTCTGAATGCATTTGGGTGAAAATGAAATCACCTGGTATCAGAGAACACCTTTACAATTTAAGATAAAACAAGCCAGATTTATTATAGTTTAAAGACAGCGATCAGAAACAATATAAATTCTCAGCAGCGGGAGGATTGGAAGTTCAGGGCCAACCTAGACTCAAAACAAAAACAAAATTAAAAACAAACGCAAATCAAATCTACTCACGTGTAAATGGTTAGCAGTGAAAGAGCACCCTGTGTCTTTCTGATTGCCTGTGCCTCTGCCTACATTTTGAAAAGATCTGGATCCAGGCTAGGCCGCCTTTCTCCCACCAGGCCTGACAAAGGGAAAAGGGCATGTGGCTTGTGCTGTATCTTTACCACATACTTTGGTTTGCAAAGAGAAAAAGCCTTTCTAAAATGCTACTTGTAAAGTTGTGTGTGTATATGTGTGGTGTGTGTACTGTGTGAGTAGTGTGTGTGTATGTGGTGTGTGTGTGTGGTATGTGTGTGGTATATGTGAGGATGGAGCTGCTTTTGTTTTTACACTCCGCTCTCACTTTCCCTGTCCTCATGGCAGCCTTCCTGGCTGCTCCCCACCCAGGACAGCAGTCACGACTGCACATCTGATGTGAGGTGGGCAGGCAGCTTGTCTGAAAAACCGATAAGGAAGCAGCCCAAATGTCAAGCATCCTGCCTCATTTAACCCTATGAAAGGATGATCGGTTTCAAGGAAGTTCACAAAGAAAAAAAAAGTTCATTTCCTCACCACAGCACATCTGATCATCTGATAGGTGCATTTTCAAAGTGCCCTGTGTGTGTGTGTGTGTGTGTGGTACTGGGGATATATGCTTGCTTTCCCAGCTCTAACCATCCATTTAAAATCAGGTACATGCATGTGTTTGCAGGCACACATGTAGGTCACTGTGTAGTCACTGTGACTCAGGTTGCTGAGCTCATGAAGACGGGGTGCTTGTTTGTTCAGAATCCCACCCCCCAGCATCTAACTTGGTACCTGACATACTCAATTGACTGAAAGGGCCTTTCAAATCATCGGCCACCCTGCACATCTTTCCATTTCTAATTTACTGTTATGCAAATATCCAGTAGCTACAATGGTATTTCACCCATGCAAATCCTCTATCCAGACTGCTGTGCACCCCGAAATACGCTGTTGGGTGGGAGCTGCATATATTTGGTCACTCTGAGAACTCTTGCAGTTTCCCCCAACAATTTTACTCCGGACCTGTTGCTCTCCAGCTTCGTCCCTTCCTTTCGCCTGGGCACCTGAAGGAGAAAGCACGTCTGGTTACAGTTATAAAGCGGATTTCTAACTTGTCATCCTTAAGGAGGCAAATAAGCGGACAATTCAAAGTTAACTTTGCTATGTAATCCTGATTTTTTCTTTTTTTTCTTTTTTTTTTTTTTCACAGTAATTGATAAGGTTTGGGGATGTGAGTCGTGGTTGTCAAGGGCATTTGTGAAGTATTTGAAGAAAGAGTCAGCAATTGAATTTAACTTAGGCATGTGATAAAATTGGCTGAGGGGTCCAAGTGAGGTCTGGCCACTGGCATTTTTTCTTTTTCTTTTCTTTTTTCTTTTTTGAAGAGAGAAAGGACAGTCTTTGCATGCCACTTCTTTTATTTGTTCCAAGCCATGAGCTGTTATTAACTGGTGCAATATTGTGCTAATTACTGAATCTTGGCCAGAGGGCATTTCAATAGCGGAAAAGCTGTATGAACTTCGACACTTTAAAGCATCACTAGTTGGAGTTTAATGTGGAGAAATTGACCTTGGAGTCCATGCTGGTGATTAACCACAGCCTGAGCATTGAAGTGCTGGGGCCCGCAGCTTCTGTAGGAAGGCCTTTGGTTGGTTGCTTTGTAGGACGCAAGCTTAATGAGCTTTGCTTAGGGTATCCAGGCATTTCCTAATGCCACATGGTCCCTTCAGTTCAGCTCTTGTCTAGTAGGAAGCCATTACAGAATCCTGCTTTCCTGAGGTCTGAATTCAGTGGTCCTTCATATCAAGTTCCCACACATGTCTGGTTTGGTAGGATACTTATTGACTTAAATGACCCTTTTTCAAAAGTACGATTGAACTGGGTACAGTGGTACATGCGTTTAATCTCAGGACTAGGGAAGCAGAGGCAAACCGGTCTCAGTGTGTTCCAGGCAAGTCTGGTTGCCATAGGGAGTTCCAGGCCTGCCGGGGCTATCCAGTGAGGCTCTTGTGTAAAATAAAAAAAGGTTGGCAGCTTCCCTTCAGTGAACACTCACATTCCCTGATTTGTACTAATTATTCCAAAGAAAATAAATGGAATAAATATGCATTGCAAATAATTTTGTTTCATGGTAGGACCTCACCCATGTTTACAGACTATCCTTATATATTTTAGAACTTTAATGTTTATTTTTACTTATGTGTGTGTATGTGTCTATGTAAGTATGCCACATATGTGCTGGTACTTTCAGAGAGCAGAACAGGGAGTCAGATTTCTCAGAGTTGGAGTCACAGGCAGCTGTGAGCTGCCAAACTTCAGTGCAGGGAACCAAACTCTGGTCCTCTGGAAGAGCAACAAGTACTCTTAGCTGCTGAGCCATCTCTCCAGCCCCAGATCATGTTTATATCTGCATGACTAGAATAATAAAGCATGCATCCATGTGCGTGTGTTTGGTAAAAGACTGTTTCTAGGAGTTTCAGGTATAGAGCGGATACCTTTTAGTTTGTTCCTGAGGTTTGGTTAGTAAGGGTATACATCTTTCTGATTACTTTAATCTAATTAAATTGGAGGGAGAAGGTGTTATTTCTGGCTGCACTTTGGTTGTTATAAACATGTGTTTTCCCTTTGCGTTTAGTTCAGACTATTTTTTTAACTACTGATAAGTAGATGTTCATGAAGCACTTTGACTTTTGGAAGAAAGAGGGCAAGTTAAGCTGTTGTTAAAACAATCAAACTCAGCTGGTGGCACATAGCTTTGATCGCAGCACTTGGGAGGCAGAGGCAGGTGGATCTCTTATTTCAAGGCCAGCCTGGTCTACAAAGCAAGTTCCAGGACAGCCAGGGCTACACAGAGATCCTGTCTCAAAAAACAAAACAAAACAAAACAGAACTGAAAAAACAAAAACAAACAACAAAAGACAAAGGAAAAGAACAACCACATCAATATCAAACTCCATTTTCTGTGATGGTTGAAGCCACTGCAAAGCCTTATGGGAGCTTGGGAAGTAGCAGACAGGCTTCTTGAACAGCACATGGAGAGATGCTTGGCTGGACACCTTTTTTCAATGTGGTGTTCAGTTAGAAACTCCACGGGGATGTTTTGGGCAAGACAATCCTTATATTTTAGCATTTCCTAGCACTTGCCCATATGGCATGCACAAGTACCCTCTCCACCCTGATGTGAAGAGAGACACCACCCTTACATGATTGTAGGATCCAGGTTGAAAAGTACTGGTTGAATAGATACTCATCTGAAGGAGAAGTCCCACTCCTGGCTTCGTTTTGCCTTATTTATGTAGGGGTCATGCTTCAGATCTCCCACTGGCTTCATCTCCAGGTGGTTTATTCTAAAATCCTGTATGTGCCTTATCTTTCTTGCTTATGAGACAGGGCCTTACACTGTAGCCCAGGCTGGCCTGGAAATCACTATGTAGCCCAGGCTGTCCTCAGACTCACACTGATCCTTCTGCTTCACCTTCTCAAGTCCTGAGATTGTAATTGTGAACTACCAGTCTGGCTTGATGAGTCTTTCCTTGCCTGCTTGCATCACACACGCTAGCCTTCATACCTCCTCTGTCCGTGAAATTCATCCCCCATGAACCACACATACACATTTCTGTTAAGAATCGACGGCATTGTGTAGTGTGGATGATTGTCAGCTACTCATCAGAATGAATTAGAAGTCAGTGTGTTCGGGGCAAGGGAGATGGATCGGTCAATAAATTACTTGCCACCCAAATTGCGGTGATGGGAAACAGAGACAGGAGGGTCCTGAGGTCTTGCTGGCTAGCCAGTCTAGCCAATGGGCGAGCTCTAGGTTCAAGGAAAGACTCCATCCCAAAAAACTAAAGTGGAGTGTCCTAGACGAAGATATCCAACATCAACCCCTGGCTTCCACACGTGCAGGTACAGGTGCTCACACCCACACATGCACTAATATACACTTACACAAAACAACAACAAAGAGATATTTTAATCAACTGGAGGGTAATGCTATTAACTATCTACCACTAAGGGATATAAAACGCTAAGCATCACCCTTTTACTATTGAGTCACGTTTCATTAGCTATAATCACTTTAATATCCTTCCCCCCTCTCAGATGGATCCGAACAGAATATCAGAAGACAGCACTCGCTGCATTTATAGAATTCTGAGACTCCGTGAGAACCCAGGCTTACAGGACTCGACTCTGGAGAGTGAGGACACAGACGCACTACCTGACTCATGCAGGAGGATGAAACAGGCCTTTCACGGGGCCGTGCAGAAGGTAAGTTCGCCCTGAAGTGGTTAAGTCAAGGGTTCTCTCGGACACAGTGGTAGCTCACTAGTAAGACTTGAGAAACATTGACTCTGTTCTTTTGTTTTAATAAATTGTGAAGGAGCTGATGAGGCTGTCTTAAAGAGAATTCTTTTGAAGTTGGTGGTGGTCAGTTTCTTTCCTTTCTTTTTTTGCTTTTTGCTCTTGGTTTTTCAAGACAGGGTTTCACTGTGCAGCCCTGACTGTCCTGGAACTCACTCCTTAGACCAGGCTGGCCTTGAACTCATAGCGATCTGCCTGCCTCTGGCCTCTGGGGTATGCCACCACCACACCCTGGCTTTTTCCTTTCTTTTTAAGAGGAGGGATTTGAATGTGTTTCTACAAAGAGAATCCAAGTGACTACAGTTTTCAGACGATCACTTTGTTAGTTTGAATCTTTGATCTAAAAAACTACATTCTAGGTTTTCGGACCTTCTGGTGGCTCATTCCCCAGCTGCTTCTGAAGGATCCCCTGTTGCAGCATACCTGTGGCCTGGGCTCCCGTGAGGAGCCATGTAACTGGCCCTCTGCTGTCAGGCGTGGTGAGAGGCAGGTGTGCTGAGCAGGCGTGGTGATAGGTGAAATCACGTGTCTCCTGTCTCATTTGCTGGGAGAGCTGGGTAATAAGAGAGATGAGACTGGAGAAGCCGGGTGACACCAGGCTGTCAGCCTTAGCTGAGAAACACATCTGCCTGGCAGATTCCTGAGGAAAGCCACCCGGGAATTCTGCTGCCTCCGAATTACTGTACTTACCGACTCCACCGAAAACTGGGTAGAAGTCCAGTGCTACATGCTGTGTGTCTGCATGTGAACCCCCATCCACTAGCCCTCCCGGCTTCCAGTTCACTACTTCTCACGTTGTCTCATTATCTCAGAGTAACCCGGGCACTCTCAGAGCTGTTGGACCTCGGATTTGTTAAGCTTTACTAATTAACTAGTACAGTTCTAGCTTAGTTCACCAGAGGGAGAACAGAGATCTAAAAATCTGTCAGCTACAAGTACAGGCGGAAAGAGTAAGTTGTAAAACTAATTAAGGTAAATATAACACTTTCAAGGGGAGGCTTGCTGCATTTTATGCCATTTAAGGGACCGCTGATTTTCGGCTTCCATCACTGAGTCACACCACTAAGACAATATGCTGACCAAGGTGGCCATCACCGATTCTACTTGCACCTTAATTTCAGAGACGATCCACCAACGCTGAGTGTCACAGAGTCAGTGAAATGGATGATGTCCCTGGAGCACGCATGAGAAGGCATGTTACTTACAGCAGCCATGATCTGTCTTTGTGAATATATGTCTATATAATTTAATATACTGTGAAACTACTTTAAGTGAGCACAGTTTGGATTAGGGATTAAAGAATTTCACCATTGTTAAAAAGTGATAGCCTTTCTTGGTCGGAGGGGGGGGGTGTGAGGGGGGGGGGGGGGGGGGGGAGGGGGGGGGGGGGGGGAGGGGGATGGAGCTTCATGGTAGGATGATGCATGCTTAGTGTGGCTGAGCCTCTGGGTTCAAGTCAGAATGTGGTAAACTAGGACGGAGACCAGACGAGAAGAATCAGCTGCTTGCATTAAAGGTTACCGGATATGGTGGCTCATGTCTGTAATCCCAAACTGAGGCTGGGGGATTGTGAGTTTGAGGTTAGCGTGAGCTACATAGTGAGATACTCCCTCTGAGAGGAAGAGAGGAGGGGAAGGAGGGAGAGAGAGCCTGGTCTTTTCTATTAACAGATAATTATGGGTTCTCAAGAGGAGTGGGGCTTTATTTATCATTCATTTTGTGCTTTACTTGTTATGCTATAGGAGTTTGCATTTTAGAAAACATGGGCAATTTATAAAAGCCTTTTAAAAGCTCAGTGAACTATCGCAATAAGCCAGAGTACATTGGTATAATATACACATTATTGTAACACCCAATGTGTGCGAGATGGGGAAGATTTCCTAGGCCTGATCTTTTAGGCAGGAGATGAATGTTACCCAAACCTTATCATTACAGTTAACCAGCATCCATATGGTGTAACTGTGGACCTAGGCCTTTCGCCATACCTTTTTTTCCCCCTTAGACCCAATAATTTACTCTTTTATCCCAGTCAAATGAATGGTCTACCAAATGTATTATCCTTTGATGGAAATCATTGGTTAATGTGACGCCCGTGATATTTGCCAGAGTAGTCAGATTTCTAATTTGTCTTGGTGTTGATAAAAATAGGACGGGTGGAGTAGGCATTCTGGAAGCAGATTTCCATCTTAACTTGAGTTCTAACTGATATTGAGCGAACCCATAAGACAGTTCATGTGTAGCTGCGACCAGTATTGAGAGATCAGCTCTTGCAGTGGGAGCACACACCAGACATGAGTGCAATATCATATTAGAGGCATGCAGAAAGTGGTGTTTACCCAGCTCATTGTGGTCAGACAAGTAATCTTGTTTTTCCCTCCTTTTTTGTTTGTGGCTAGGGTTTTCTTGGCTTTCTTTCCCCTTTAGCACAGAACTCTGAAAGCCTCCTACTGGTCCAACTCTACCAACCGCAATTTATAAAGTCTATCATAACAGTCTATGACAATAAAAAAAAAACTAGTACAAATGTGGTGTCTGACTTGTAAAAGGATGCCTGTTTTCAATTTTGGCAGCCTTGCTGGGTTCTGCCTAGCCAGCCAGGCTTGGGCAAAGTGGTGAGTTCAGGGCTTACCCAGCATTGCTGTGCGTGGCAGTCAGGGCACTCACCCTAAACCTTCTGTCTGGACTCCATGGCTAGACATGCATCGAGTTAATATTGTGAGCCCACAGGGCTGTGACTCTGCCTGCCTTCAGTGTGCCGGCTTGTTGATTTTATACTGGGACCTATTTTATAGAAAAACAATTGTCCAAAATTTGTCTGTCAAAGTATTTAGATGAATGATACCAAAGGAAGAAATCAATAGATGTCACCTTGCTGTCTGTCACAATGAGGTACTCTGTGCCTTGAAGGGGGTATGAAGAATCAAAAGGGCATATGGTTGCCTTCTTTCTTTCTTTCCTTCTTTCTCTCTTTCTTTCTCTCTCTCTCTCTCTCTTTCTTTCTTTCTTTCTTTCTTTCTTTCTTTCTTTCTTTCTTTCTTTCTTTCTTTCTTTCTTTCTTTCTGTCTTTCTCT